CAACGCCATAAAACGGACAGGAGACAATCACCTCCAATTTCCAAATCGATCGGGTTATTACAGCTGCCAACCACCAGGCTCAGTCAATCGTGTCTTCCTAGTAGGATGCAGTAGAAAATAGATATCCGTACGGGATAGGTGCGTCACAGATCACCAGACTATGGGCAAAGTCGCAAAAAAACTAACGTTATCTATAGTAGTAATGATGATGTTCGTTGTTTCGTACAGCTAAAGAAGAAAACATGCGATAGACTCTCTGCTGAAAACCTAACTACGGGCTCTAGTGCAAAATCATTTTACCTGTCAAAGTGTTCTTTTAGTTTACATTAAAGCGCAATTTCAAAAGAGGATGATTGTTTTGAATCCTATTATCCAGGGCTGAGTAGATTATATCCTAAAACAGTGTCAAAGCAGAATGCAATAAGAATACCAGAACTGGTTGCTTAGTGGTTGTTTTATTGGAAAATGTTCACCGTCTAAATTGGTCAAAAGTTGAATCTGTAAGTACATGGTTTTGCATTGGAAAGTTGGTGGCAGAATTTATGGGTCGTAAAAGTTCGAAATACTGCTAGTTTTAGTTAAAAATGTTTTCAGTAATGACATGTCGGGCGTCCAATGACAAATAAGTGATGTAATTGGAAGGTAGCTTCAAGTTAACGCATCCTTTGGGAAAATGAGGAAAATTTACTGAATCAATTTTCCTCATTTTCCCAAAGGACACCTTGCCTTGAAATTACATTCCTTGAGATGACCTCCTTCCAGTTTTTATGTGAAGGTAGCTGATAGGTGGCACCAAAACATGACACACTATTTAGGCCAAGGCCAAACGTGAGTCAGGCAGTAACGAAATGTCGAGTTGTGCACGCATTTCAGGGCTGGCTGCGGGCGAGAACCTACCTACGAGGACGCTCGCAGATGGATCAATAGGAACTCATGAAAACGCGACAACGGCATGAACCTGAACTACGACGCCGCAGACGGAATTACTGAAGCAAGGTGTACACTCAGCAACTTTCACAGTAGAGCTCGCCTCAGTTATCCTGTCTATCTGTAATTCCATATAGACACTGGCTCAATACTACTGGGGGATATAACAGTAGTATGCAAAACAGAATATTTGTATTAGTGCATTCAAGAACTTACCAAAACCGTAGAATGGAGGTGAAGCCCAAAAGAGAGACCACAAC